CAGATCTTTATACTAATATTCTGCACGAAAAAAAAAAAAGATCTTTATACTAATATTGGGTTATCGTGTTGAACTAAACACGCTGAATATCATATTACTATGAATAATAGAATAACATGCATACTAAATACGCGGCTTTAAGCTTGTCATACCTCATATGCCCCCTCTTTTTTAATCCATTTTGAATTGATAAAGTTTGGCGAGTTAGGTCGGGTAGAAAATGCCTAAAGAAAAAAGAAATCATTTAATAGCAAGACTCGAGTATTTTATATACTGGACAATTATATATTTAAGAAGCCAAGGTGGTGACACGGCAGTGATGACGAAAACTGGATGAAACTACTTTTGGTTCAGGTTAATTTACCATGACATTGTAATTTATCTAATTCTCATGATAGGTTAACCACTCAGAGCGCGTTTTCTTGTCTAGAAAACTTTATGAAGTTACTTTGAATGCTTAATTTTTTTGGTCATTTAACTTGCACTATATCTAAAAATCCTCACTATATATAGAGTTTCTAAACCTGAGTGTGAACTTTGAATTTATCCATTTCTTTTTACCGAACATAGCAACCCAAGTCGGGAAAATTACTTGAAGAAATGTCATATGTGCATATCTCAAAATGGTGAGAATATACATTTTCTGCAGTCATGACTATGTTTCATCATTCCGATTAATTTTATAACACCGGCTAGTTTAGAAAGGTCACTTCTTAGTAACAAAATATATATCGCTAACTATATATAATTTTTGAAGAGGCTCGAAGACTTTGTACTTTGAAACGGAGGCAGGACACAAGTTTTTTCGTGTGGCGAATAAAACTTCTATGTGCACATATAATGTATATGAAAAACACGCATAAATTAATTTCCTGTGATAGTTTCATTCGATTAGAAAGAATAAAATCTTATTTCTCATGAACTTCAATTGTTGGACAAACAGAAGTCCCTTAAACGATTCATTCGTTTAGAATAAACGAAATCATCATATATCTCTTATGGGCGAAAAAGAGAGTTCAGATTTCTTGTTTTATTTTCATGTTCTATTTTGTTGGACAAATGACATGCAAATATGACATTATCATTTATATGTGTCATTAATGCAATGGAGTAGAACATGAAATAGAACATGAAAGTGGAGTAGAAAATCTCATTCCCAATAAAGAAGAAAAAGATAAAAGAATAAAACAAAACAAATGCATACATAATACATGAAATTACTCATTTAATATTGGAACTCGTCATGTTGACTTAGTTATATTAAGGCAAAGGCAGCCTTGCAGTTGATCCAGAATTTACCCGATCAACTTGACTCGGTAGTTTTTTAAAACATAATATATAAATAATTTTAGTATAAAATTTATTACAGATGGCTATGGTTATATTTATGATGATGATGATAAATAATAATATATATAAGATTCTGAAATATAAGATTTACATGTATATTATTTATTTTTATTACTTTTATTGATATTTATTATAAAAAAAAACGATATGTACAATTATTGAAATTAGCTATTGGTCACCCAGTGACCCAGTAATCTGAAGGTGAGGTCAACTTTTACCAAATTTTACTGTTTTCCCCCTTCTTGTCGGGTCAAACCAATGATGAAAAAGCAAATTTGGCTTTAATTTGGCCTTTTATGATCCAACCCATGTGGACATTCCTATTTCCCGGGCCAGTAGTGCGCGTTTTCGGCACTTAAAAACACATTAATATGGTCCACAACATTACTTCAATTTTATTTTATATTTTCCTCACTTTTCCAAAAATGCAATCTAACACGCACGTTACGCTTTTGTCATGCAATGATGCAGCTATGGCAGCTGGAAACACTATTGCTGCAAAAGGACACATACTTAAATTACAGTCAAGCCCTCAGCTACACGAGCCAAGCCCTGAGCCAGAACCTCCACGGGCTCAGGCACCGGGGCCGATTGAGGAGAATAAGCACCAAATTGCTTTATTTCTTGCAAGAAAATTGGAGGAGGATTTGGGTCCTGACAATATGGATTTTGATCATGATTGGACTGTTCACGTGGAAATTCTATCAGTACAAACAGAAAAACGCGTACAAAGTCATGGGCTATTGTCTTCTCACAGCCAAAGGTGCGGCGGAGACTTTGAAATTCAACATGGCGCTCGTGTTATTGCCTGTGTGCAGGAACACCATAACCTGGCTGAGGTCCTCCAAGCTGGGCTACTTTGTGCCGTTCGATGACAACATCAACTTTCACAAGGTATTTGTTTAGGTGATTGCCACCGTCCATTGAGCATTTAAAAATATACTAAGAGTCTATCCAAATTCAATTTAAAAATATCATGCCAATATTTTAAAGTTGGACCCACAGTGATGTATAACTAAATATATATGAGGTTTATTAAAACTAGTGTATACCCCGTGCAATGCACGGAAACAATATTAAATTAATAATATTATAAATAGACCTCGAGTTTGAGTCACTCAATGACGGAAGTGAAAACTACTATTGTTCTTATTTAAAAAGAGGAAGCAAAAAAAATAATTATAAATTAAAGAGGAGGATAAACAATACTTAAAAATTATAAACTAAAGATTCGGGGTCAAACAATGTAAAATTATTTTGTATAAGAGAACATAAAAAAATTTGATCACACCATTTCAAAATTATTATTATACTTTTTTGTATGGTTAGCTTATAATATTTGTAAAAATATTAGTAATTATGAAAATTAGCTTCTTAAAGTAGATAATTAATTTCCTGTAGTAATTATGAATTAGTTTCTATTTTATTTTATTTTTTCTTTTTAAAAATAATGGATTTCTAGTAGTAATTATGAATTGGTTTCTATTTTATTTTATTTTTTTAAATCTGAATAGATAAGGGATGAGATTTTTTAAATTCGTGAGATCGTATGCAATAGGATTTTGTAACAGAAGAGATAAGTGTGTAGATTTATACTAAAAATTGGAAAAAAAAAACAAATATTTATTGTCAAACAACGGTTTTGATAAACTAAAAAAAAAATGAGCCGATTTTGTTGCTTATTCAGATTTGTCCAACAATTACTATATTAGGATATATTTAATGATTTTGGCGGGAAAAAGTTTCTAAATTTGTAAAAAGGTTATTCTTTTTATATAATGATAGATAATAATATTTATAAGAACACAATGAGGTACTCATATTTATAGAAAACTTAGTCCATTTTCTTACATGCCATGACACATTATTTAGACATCATATTATTTTGTTTGCAATGAAGATATTCTTCATATAAAATGTCGAAATTTTATGTGCACTAGACATTTTCCCAGATAAACCCAAACCAAAATGCTACAATATCATATAAATTTCAGGTTAGGTTTATTTGGTGATGGGTAGTAGTAGTAAAAGGGGCGACAACTATTAATGAAGGAATAAAAATTGACTGATATGAGGAAATAAATATACCGTGTGAGTTTCTGGTTTCGCATGTCTCTCTGTGGCCCCTACTGGCTTGACTTTATTATGAAAAAATAATCCTGGTGGTTATCCTATCCTCATCAGCAACGGAAAATTTTGAATTTCTAGCCAGAAAAATGTATATTACTTGCGAATTCACCTAATTTAACAGGTCAAGTCAGTCTCATGGAGAAAAATTTGCATTTGCTTCTGAATTCACCTAATTAGGAGTCATGTAGTATTTATTAATGTAATTCGCTAAATAATCTTCCCTCGCTGAGTGTTTAGAATATCACCTGTGAGTTGTCCCACATCGTTCATATATGGAAAATAGACCCACCTTACAAGTTGTCCCACATCGTTCATATATGGAAAATAGACCCACCTTATAAGACTAATGAGTTACTTCTCCTTCCACCAATTGATTTTGGGATGGAATCCCATTTGGGCTCCATATGAGTTTTTTCCTTCTTTCATGGTGTCCTTCATGGTAGTGGGCCAGCACCCATTTTCCCCCAGTTTCTGTCATGGTATCAGAGCCGGTTCTATCTTGGACTGTGTGATGACGTACCCATTTTCCCCCAGTTTCTGTCATGGTATCAGAGCCGGTTCTATCTTGGAATGCTATCTTGGAATGGTAGTGGGCCAGCACCCATTTTTCCCCAGTTTCTGTCATAGTTTCAGAGCCGGTTCTATCTTGGACTGTGTGATGACGTACCCATTTTCCCCAGTTATCAGAGCCGGTTCTATCTTGGACTGTATGATGACGTACCCATTTTTCCCCAGTTTCTGTCATGGTATCAGAGCCGGTTCTATCTTGGACTGTGTAATGACGTACCCATTGTTTATCCCCCACGTACCCGTTTATGGGAGCCTGTTTGTAGTAGGGTTTGGGGCACCCAGCCCAGTTGGGTTGGGCTTTCGAAGGACTCACAAGTGAGGGGGCGTGTTAGAATATCACTTGTGAGTTGTTTATGGGAGTCTGTTTGTAGTAGGGCTAGGGGCACCCAGCCCAGTTGGGTTGGGCTTTCGAAGGACTCACAAGTGAGGGGCCGTGTTAGAATATCACTTGTGAGTTGTCCCACATCGTTCATATATGGAAAATAGACCCACCTTATAAGACTAATGGGCTACTCCTTCTTCCACCAATTGGTTTTGAGATGGAACTCCATTTGGGCTTCATATGGGTTTTTCCCTTCTTTCATGGTGTCCTTCATGGTAGTGGGCCAGCACCCATTTTCCCCCAGTTTCTGTCAGCCTACATCTACTTGTAACTTTTTTATAAAGAAGGCTAATATATGGAGCTATCTTAGATTGCCTACAGAAATTTAGAAACACAACATTAGGCCATTGGTGTTCCACCCTGATAAAAGAGATGTGAATGACATGTTTTGCGTCCTCTTAAATTTCTTCTGCCAATTGTTGTAGCACATAATATAAGCTTATGTCCTAAATGAATTGTTTTAGAATATGAAGGCAGAGTTGGTGGTGCTTAAGACAGAAGCAAGTTTAGTTAACTAAAACAAATCTCCGTATTGGATAAGAAACAGAAAAGAAGAAAGAGTATGAAACTTCAGATAATCTTAAACAACCAATCCTTTCAGTCTCGAACTATTATTATATTATGAGATAAGAAAAAGTGTGACTGAGATATTGCAGTTATACGATGCGTGAGAAATTGAGGGTTCTCATGAAATATCATCAAAAGAATGTAGATTTTTCATTTTTAAGACATATGCATAATTGAGCAAATTTCTGTGTAGTTTAACCATCATGTCATCAAATGAACACCAATAAAACTCAAATCATTACTCATTTACAAATATTAATACTTGTCATCAATCTCCCATTTTCTTCTGTAACATCGAACATGAACAGACCATAGCTGCAGCCATTGTAGTGGGCGTCATACTCCACGCAGGCAACCATCTTGCTTGTGACTTTCCAAGACTCATAAACGAGCCCGATTCCATGTACAGACGTTATTTTATTGACGACTTTGGCAAGAATAAGCCCAAGTACATAGACCTTGTGAAAGGGATCGAGGGCGTGACCGGGCTCTTAATGGTCATCCTCATGATAATTGCTTTTATATTGGCAACTCGGTGGTTCAGAAGAAGTCTTATTAGGTTGCCTAAGCCATTTGACCGCCTCACTGGCTACAATGCCTTTTGGTATTCTCACCACCTGTTTGTCTTTGTATACGTGTTGCTCGTAATCCACGGGACTTTCCTGTATCTGGTTCATCACTGGTACAAAAAGACGGTAAGTGTAAATTTAGGCTTATTTCTAGAAAAATATTATATATGTTCGTTCTCTTTGTAATTGTATTAACTTTTTTTTTTTCTTTTTGTTCCAATTTTTTTATTACAGACGTGGATGTATCTTGCGGTTCCTGTGATTCTGTATGCAGGGGAAAGGATACTTAGATTCTTTCGTTCAGGCTTCAATAGTGTTCGGCTTTTAAAGGTGATTATTTTTTCCATTTAGTTTGTTTGCTTGATGAAGACATGTTTTGAGACCAACCACGGTCAAACATCCTGATCGTCTAATTTATGATGTTGTCAGGTTGCTATTTATCCAGGAAATGTCTTGACATTGCAAATGTCGAAGCCTCCACAATTTAGATATAAGAGTGGGCAATACATGTTTGTCCAATGTCCGGCCGTTTCTCCATTTGAATGGTAAACTACTACTTATTCCACAGTTACTTTATCTTATCCTACTCAATTTATCCATATCATTTTGCTTTTCTTTTTTCTTTTTTTTTTTTTCTTTTTTTTTTTTTTTTTTTTT